GAATAGTAATTATTCCTATGAAGGTATAGGGAACTGGCCCTTAGAGGTTTTTTTTTCAGATCATACCTGAAACTCTAAGCCAGGAGACAAGCCAATCTGCATCTGTTCCATTCCATGAACTGGGATATCGCTCTTGTTTTCTTTTAGGCCTTTACTGTACATCTGCCCTCTTTTCTGCTTTTTGAGTTCTAGCTTGAGATGCTCTGAGTGGGATCAGGTGGGAGAGGCTTGTTTCACAGGTATTAATGTGAGAGGAGAAGCACCACTGCATCAGGATGATGGAACATACTCAACTTTTTTCATATATCTTTTCAGAGTGAGGGACTGACTGCACAAGGCTGGCAGAAACAATCCTGCCTCTCTCCCATAACAAAGCACACAGGCTAGGAAAAAGGGGACTGGCAAGTAACAGCTAACAGTGACCAGAAAAAACTCTGGATCTACTGTCCTGGAGCGCAGCGGCTACTGCAAATGCACAAGATCCATACACTGAGACAAGGAGCCTTCAGAGTGGGAATAACAATAGGCAGTGCTGCCTACTTTGTACCTTAGTCCTGCTGTATAACACTGCACAGTATTTCCTTTTCTGCCAGCTGAAACCTCCAATATTCTTCCTGTGCTATAAACCCCAGAATTCTTGCAACGCTTTTGCATCCAAATACAAACAGGGTTTTCAGATTTAAAACGGCAAAACAATGTAAAACAACTAAGAAGCTATTTGGAAAGAAATTTTGAAAATAAGCCTGACCTATTTTTGATGCATAAATGCCTCTGCAGGTCTTTCAGAAGTAAAAAGTTGTCTTCTACTAATTCTACACAACTTGGAGCATAACACCACTGTTCAGTGACAATTTCTCACTGTCATTTATAAGCAGAGTATTGGGAGATCCGGGACCTATTTCTTCCCAGTCCTGCAGAAGAATTGCTATGTGACCTCAAGCAAATAATTTAACCTCTCTGTGTCACAGTGGGTTTTATCTTTAGAGTGGTGATAACAGCAACCACTTGCAACTCTCACATTATTGATAACTGCAAATACTTTTCACTTAGATTCCGGAGGCCTGCATGGCACTAACACGCAAAAATGATCATGCCCTTCAGTGCTCAGGAGTACCAGGTCCTAAGGGAAGTGCTGCAGATTGTCATGTAGGGCTTTTGTAGCAGAAAGAGATTTGTGTGTACTCACCCGTTCTTTTATTTTTTCAGTGAGAAAAGGCTTAATTAGAGCGAAGACTGGGTGGAAGAATAAAGGCTCATTAATCAAGTGGATACCTCGAACTTTTAGTGGAAAGGAATCCTGTCAACATATATGAAAACAAGCATAAGAAAAAGAAAATATTAATGAAGAGATTCTATTGCTAAGGACAAATCTGTGAATACTATCTAGTCCGTAGGTTACAGTATTCCTCCTGACCATGCCAATACCTGCACACTGAAGTGTTCTTAGTTTACACTGCCCCAGTAATGCTTAGAAAATGACATCTTGTTCCTCCCATTAGAAGGAAAAAACAAAAAAAAAACCCACCCAAAAAACAGTATGAGGAGAGGCTATTAAAAAAACACAAACAAACAACAAACAAATAAGAAAACCCTCACCAAATTACACGTAAGTAATGTACAAAGCTTGTCCTCAGCCTTTCCTCAGAGGTACAATTCTTTGTAGCAGAGATTCTGCTGTTAATACACCAAAAAGCTATCTAGCCATGTGCTTTCATTGTTAAGTCACAGCCAGAAGGATAATAAATATATATAAATATAAGCCATTGAAGCTACTAACTTTACGTTAAATCAATTATAAATATAATTTAGAGGCCTTATAAATGTAATTTAGAGCCTTGAAACTACTGGGAATTTGCCCAAGAAGTTCAGCTTTACAAGAAGATTAGTGTCATAATGAAAATAAAAAAATAAAAATTGTATCTGCTAAACAGCCTTTATAATATGAAAGACTTCCACTTGGATTCAAGATTCATTTAGAAATCCCAGACCTTTGCATGTTAAAAGAAAACACGGCAGTGCTCAAAGACAACATTATGCAACAGGGAAAGTATGGCTTCCATTCATAGCCCAACTGATACACTTCTGTGACCAGAGGTTTTCTGCTTATAAAAATGGTACTTCTCACAAACAGCTCTCCCTACTACAGTAGCTCTTCTCACATTATTTCATGCACTCTTTGATGGATAAAAAAAAAAAAACAACAAATGCCACATATTTCTTAAGTGCAACTCCTTTTAGATTTTAATGTATAATAAAGACATTAAAACTATCCAATTATAGGTTTACTGCAAATTACTATGTTATCATATACTTAAAGTCTACTATAGCATTTTTCATAAAAGTTTGGTTTTGCATGGGGTAAAGGTTTTTCAAGATGACGTCACTTACTAATATTTCTATGCTTTCCATTCCATAGCACATTATTTCCTTTCTATTAACTTCTGTTACTTCATACAGGATAGTAACTTGCAAGGCACATTTCTTCAGAAAAACATAGGGTTGAAAGTAACATTCCTTAATTTTACTTAAAAGCATAATGAACAACACTAAGACAATCTCTGGGTGAAATATATGAATGGAATCTGAAAAAAAAAAGTGGCTGTGTGGGGCTGAGTTGCCAAGCTGGGGTTAAACCATGACAGTCCTTTTTTTGGCACAGCATGGGGCCCAAAGCATTTGAGATAACAACAAGTTTGATTAGAATGTGCTAGATCAAATTTATAGCTGTTATTGCTGTTTAGCTATTAATCAGCAGGCTCCTGTGCTTGCCCTGGGGCTTGCTTGCCTTACTGTACATTAGAGTCCAGTGCTTGTTAGTGGCTGCTTTTTGCTCTTGCTGCTCACCGCACTGCTGTGCTGCTGATCATCTCACTCTGCTGTGCCTGGGAACATTTTGGTAACAGCATGGTGATGAGCCTGGGCTGGCAGACGGCCAGGGCATCGCTGCTGTTTCTGTGCTGCTGTACTGGACAGGCTGGAACTCCAGTGTGAACTCCAGTCAAAGGGACTGTGAGCTGTGGATGAGTCCTCATGGGAGCAGGACACCCCAAAGTAGCTGTGACTGTGGATAAGTCCACACCAGAGCAGGTACATCTTGAAGCATCTGTGGCCATGGTTATGTCTGTGCCGCAGCAGGTACACCTCTGAAGGGATTGTGGCCCAAGGGAAGTCCAGGCTGGAGAAGGTACACCTCGAAGCATCTGTGGCTGTGGTTAACTCTCTGCCGCAGCAGGTATACCCCTGGACTGCGGCTCATAGATAAGGCTCCACTTGGAGCACGTACACCCCAAAGGGACTGCAGCCTGTGCATAAGTCCAAGCTGGAGCAGGGGCAAGGGGAGGAATTCATTGCAGTGTTAAACCTGATGGTCTGGTCCAAAGGAACCGGGGGTGGAGATACCTTTAAATTACTCTAATCCAGGATTTGAGTTGCATGTTATAGGAGTTACTATAGCAAGAACCACCTGAACCAACCGAGGACAAGCCTTACAAGAAGCAGTGCAAGTGCAGCAGTGACCCAACCAGAGCCAGCTTCAGTGCCCAGTAATTCCACACAAGAAAGTGCCTCTCCTGTCTTGAGTGACCACCATACCAGATGGAGCCCAAAGGCATGGACTAAATCAACTCAACAGACATTTTGTGGATATTTTTGGACATTTTACAAGGGTGGTCCATAGACTAAAGGAATGATATCTGTGTTTTATATCAAAGCATGGGAAGGGGGGTGGTGGTTAATGAGGAAGTAATGGATAGTGCGGGACCTGAGCACGACATAAATGGTATGGAATAAGGGGTGGAGAATGTGCTGGTTTGGGCTAAGAGAGAGTTAATTTTCTTCACGGTAGCTAGTATGGGGCTATGTTTTGGATCTGTGCTGGAAACAGGGTTGATAACACAGGGATGTTTTAGTTACTGCTGAGCAGTGCTTGCAGAGAGTCAAGGTCTCTTCTGCTTCTCACCCCACCCCACCAGTCAGTAGGCTGGGGGTGCACAAGAAGCTGAGAGGGGACACAGCCAGGACAGCTGACCCCAACCAACCAAAGGGATATTCCATACCATATGATGTCATGCTCAGAATATAAGGCTGGGGGAAAAAGGAGGAAAGAGGAGATGTTCAGAGTGATGGCGTTTGTCTTCCCAAGTAACTGTTATCCGTGATGGAGCCCTGCTTTCCTGGAGATGGCTAAACACCTGCCTGCCCATGGAAAGTAGGGAATGAATTCCTTGTTTTGCTTTGCTTGCGTGTGCAGCTTTTTGCTTTACCTAATAAACTGTCTTTATCTCAACCCCTGAGTTTTCTCACTTTTACCATTCTGATTCTCTCTGCATCCCACCGGAGGGGAGTGAGTGAGTGGGTGTGTGATGCTTAGTTGCTGGCTATTAAGCCACGTCAAAATGTATTATTCTACCTCCTTTCTTCTCTATTTCAAGATTAAAAAACTACTAGCAAGTTGTTTAGTAGCTCAGAAATCAACTGAAACATTCTCACATGTCCTGTTCTCATGAGATTTGGCCCAGGATCATATGAACATCAAGAGTCCTTATTCTAGGTGTGAAAAATTGGGAATACCTGCTGGTTTCACTGAAGTTTTACAGCAGATACTAAAAAAAAAGAACAGATGAAGTTCTGATGATATTAGTTCAATGACTAAGCTTTGACTGAACCTCAGATATGAACCTTGCCAAATCAGAGCAAGAGATTATCTCCCTGGCTCATTTCCACATCACAGGCTAACAGTTTTATTCTTACTGATTTTCAACCTAACTTCTGAAGGAAAATGGAATTATAAGACTACACTGTAGCTTGCCTGTAATTTCTCCGTCCCCTTCTTTTTTTCTTTTGTTCCTTTTTTTCTTCCTCCTCTCTAATCCATTGGCAAAGTTCAACTGAATTTGACAGAAAGAAAAAAGTCTTAAAGACAGTAAAGTCCCTAGAAGTTTTGTGAAAAATAGGAGGTGAGGTAGCAGTGAGTCGCACAAAATAATGCTCACATTGGGGGGGCAAAAAGCAAGCAGAACATAAACACCATGCATTCTGTTGGTAGCAGCTGGATGGTTACATAGCATCATCCATACTAGTAAAAAGTTAATACTGTCCTACTATTAATTACTCTTAGCACATGCTATTTCTCATCTTCTCTGAGGCCCAAGGAAAAAAAAGCTTTGAATGTTGAGTTAATGCATAGAAGAATTGAAGAGGGGAGATGAAATGTGATAACCAATACAGATCCTTACAAAACTGGGCTTCATCTGCTCTTACACTCATGAAATTCTTATGTTGTAACAGGTCAATGGAGTTCTAAAACTTCGGAGGCTAAAGGACCTTTACTGCTATAGAAGAACATACTTCAAGTCAAATCAAGCACAAACTATGCCTGAGCTGTCTGACTTTTCACGGATTTAAGCTCTTGTTCTTTCAAGGTGCATAGACTCTAAGAAGGTCTAAGGAAGGAGGATTTACCATAGCTTAGAACAGATCAAAAATTGGGAGTTATGACAATGAAGAAGCATAAAGCAGTATGTCATACTTACTGTGAGTACAGCAGCAATTTTCTTGGCCACTGCTGGACTGATTTGAAATGCATGAGCAAATCGCCACCCTTGAAGATCAAAGATAGCCTTGACTCCATTTCGCTGAGTTTCAATCTCCTTTACAATGAGTTCAGATGTGATAAGACTTACACGAAACACATCGTATGCTGTAAATAAACTGGGATCCCATTGTCCTGAAGAGCAAATAGATTGCACTGCATTACCATGAGGATACCACATACACCTGTGCTTTTACTTGTTACTGCTTCTAATGTGCTTCTCAAGAAGAAGTAACTAGCAATACCAAAGGTCCTGAAATAAGCCAGATTTGCCAGTACAGAAGTTACTTTGTGTACCTGCTCTGTCACTCATCTCTTGAACTCTTTTTGTAGATGGTACTACCTAATGGTACATAGTTGTAGATACCACCTAATGTAGTATGTTCCACCTATGGCCATGGCCTCCAGTATAAGATTTTGAATATATATAAGGAACAGTTTAATTCAGTAACAGTCATGTTAGCAGAAACTACAGATCATCAATCCAATCAATCAATGCAGTTTTTCTTCAGTGCAGTAATTCTGTCAAGATTCAGCGAATCCCACTTGTTTTTCTGAGGCCTGAGCAAATAATTACACGGGATAAGCCTTAACTCTAGATGAAAGCTTCAGAGAACACAACTTTGCAGAGACACACATCATTTTCTACTAGACCAGCTGATATCAAAACAATTCTGTAAAAGTTGCCAAAATAACTTCTCTGTCCAAAACAAGCACAAAGAAATACAGTAACTGGTTTTGGCTGGGATAGAGTTAATTTTCTTCCTAGTAGATGGTATAGTGCTGTGTTTTGGATTTAGTATGAGAATAACGTTAACTCAGTGATGTTTTAGTTGTTGCTATGTTATGCTTACACTAAGTCAAGGACTTTTCAGCTTCTTGGTCAGTCAAGCATGAGAAGGCTGGAGATGCACAAGAAGCAGGGAGGGGGCAAAGCCAGGACAGCTGACCCAAACTGGCCAAAGGGATATTTCACACCATATGATGTCATGCTCAGTTTATAAATTGGGAGAACCTGGCTGGGGGGACCACTGCTCAGGGACTTGCTGGGCATCAGTCAGCAAGTGGTGAGCAACTGCATTGTGTATCACTTGCTTTTGTACATTCTTTTATCGTCATCATTATTATTATTATTATTACTACTACTACTACTATTTTATTTTACTTCAATTATTAAATCGATTCTCTCCCCCATCCCACTGCGGAGGGAGTGAGCGAGAGGCAGCATGGTGCTCAGTTGCCAGCTGGGGTTAAAACATGACACGTGATCATTTAACTACAACTTTTTTCAAAAGACATTTGGGAGTACCTGAAACAAATCAAGGATCTTCAGAGTGTTATTAGATAGGGCTGTTTGGCTACATCTAACAGTGAAAACCCAGTGAACTTCTCATCTACATCTAAACTGAACGTTGGTACATGACTAGGTGTACACCTTTTTTTCTGTTCTCTCTCTCCCCTCTGTGCTGCATGTGTACCAGTACCACAGTCTTAGCACATGGCTTTCAAAATTTGCATGGAAACAAATAATTGTTGGGACACTTAGACCCAAATAACCACATATTCTTGAAAGTTGTAGGGTTTTAACCTTCAGCCTTTTTTGATGGAGACAAGAATTCCACTAAAAAGAAAATAAAATTCTCCATAAAGGTTTGTACAGCTTTAGCCATACCAGTATATAAGTCTGATATAACTGCTACAGCTCAATAAACTCACCTTTATATTAATGTAAAGGTATTCCTAACAGGGAACATAAATATGTTACCTTTCTAATTAAGACATTCTGTTATTATCTAGTTTTATCAACCCCGGTGCTGTATCCATAAAATACTTTATTTTGCTGCTCAAACTGTGAGAATTAATAAAAAAAAACCCCAATAAAACCACAACTAAACAAAGCAAAACCCCCTATAAAACAAAACAATAGCATCAGTGCCAGAGCCAGGTGTGAAACGGGTCCAAGTAATTTTGTCACTCACCAATTCTGTATATCAGAACTTTGCTTCCATGTGGGTCCCTTGATCTCAGGACTCCATGATAGCCAGCATGCAAAAGACCAAGAACAGAAGATGGCTGTAAATCTGCACTTATTTCTGGGCATTCAATTCTCCACTTCCGGTAATTCTTCAGTAACTGGAAAAAAAAATAAATGTGGATGACAGCCATCAGGTATTACATGAAGAGCTCAGTTAAAAATATGTTTTCAACATGTGGTCACAGTCAGAGGTTTAATTCATTAAATTAGCTATCAATTCATTGTGTATTTTCATCAAATCCCTCCTAGTAGTAGAAGGTTGCTATACTGGATCAAGTAAGTTATAATGGATATAGAATCCTGTCAACTTGTTAATGAACTGCAGTTGTCATTTTGTGTCAGAAAAGAAAATTGGAGTATAGAGAAAAGTTTCTACGTAAAATACATCTAAAAACCAGTTTTCTTACTTAGGTTACATTTAGGATTATTCTGTTCGATACTGCATCAAATTCATTCAGGGTTTGTTGAACTTTGATGCGCAAAAATCTTAGGGGAGCATTCCCCCTTCACCACCCCACTCCACCCCCCCATCCCTGCAAAGTATGGGCCCATTTTGTACACACAATCATTAATAATTTCAGTTTGCTATTTGAAACAGATTTGATCATCAGCATATCTAAAGCATATTTTCAAAGTCCCTCATACCCCTCTGAAATGGCAGAATATAACAGTGTAGTGGGTCCATTACCCATTAGACAATTTCCCTCCCCCAGAGTAGAAATAATGAGGACTTGTCTTACTAAAATAGAGGTCGGGTCCATGATCACCCCTGTCCCTAAGGCTGGAAGGCAGCATCATAAACTAGTGTGTCTAAGGCATAGGAAGGGCCATGCGTTGAAAGGCGATGGCCTAATTCTAGGGAAGGCTCAATTAAAGGCGTTCCTTTCTGAGGTAACATCTGTGTAGAGGACCCACAGGTGATACTGTGAAAGGTCATCTTAGAGATGGATCATGAAAAATTAAGTTGGTGATGCAGCAGTTCTAATTTCCAAGTCTAATTACTGTTTCTCCATTAATTTTAATTAAGTGGTGGTGGAGAAAATGAACTGCTATGCCCTGCAACTAAAATTTATTTAAGCCATTTTGCATAGGCAAGTGGGAAGCTATGCAAGATTGTCTTCTAAAAAGCTTCCTCTCAATTCGTCAACTAAATTCTGCCTCTGCTCTATCACCCATGCTAAGCTCTCGAGCACTGAGTTTGGAGGGTAGAGGGATAGCTATGGCAAGGAATTTAGATTTTGTATTAAAATCTCCCAAATAGCTACATTTTAGACTTCTAACCTGAGACTTTCAAAGGAGCTAAGAGAATTTCAGTTTTTCAGTACCTTGTTTCACAGCAAACTGAAATGTCGGTTTAAGTCTTAAAGGTAGCTTTTCACAGACACGCCTTTCAAATTGTTACTGTATTTTATCAAACAGCAATGCCCAATCTGATCCTCAGCACACTTTCACACATTAAATGTGTTCACCACAATGAAAGCATCAACCAAAAGGCTTTTATTTCTGTTAATTTGTATTAACAGAAATTAATTTTTATTCATTTTGCAATTACTCCATATTTCACAACAGAAACATTAGAGTCAAAAGAAGTGTCAGCTCCAGCTAATAAAGCATTAGTTTAAACAAATTACAGATTTCTTCTATCTATGCAAGTATCATTTTCTTCACCATTTTCATAGAAAGAATGGTCAGACAGAACCTCAGTGAATACTGAATTCATCCCTTGGAACATCACAGCATCACCTATGCTGATGCTTAACTACAGACTCTTAGAGGAAGACCTGAGACTGACCATCCTGTGCCTCATAGCATGCTTATATTGGTAAGCAGTCTTATTTCTTATCCTTCCCTCTGCTTTCAAGTTTCTTGTATCGTTTTACATAAAACATATACTTTTTCTTCAGCTTAAGGCTTTTCTGCTCAGATTAAGGTCTTGAATTATTTTGAAGGTCTCTCAAACGAATTATCACGAGGAAACGATTTATAAGGCATTACTGTTTGTCAGCAGAATTTACATACTAATAGATTATACACTGAGCAGAAATTATCTATATCCTTCATGGAAATAGCACCTATAAATATGTATTTATAGGTACAAAAATGAAAAAGTTCATCTGCCACGCTAGAATCCCATTTGATTTGGCAATGAGAAAGTTGATAAAAGCCTCATCCTGAACCATACACTGTGGAAAGAAATGTTTAACCATTAGGACAATTTTACAAGAAGCCTTTTGAGAGCACTCAATCAGTTCTAGCATAGGCTAACTTAAAAACAAACAAACAAAAAGGTTGGGGGAGAGGGAATAGGGAAAGTAAGTTAATTTGTGGAATAGAAATTCACTATGATTGCAAAGATAGGCCTGATGAGGTACCCTGATTACCTCATTCTGTCAGTGCTTGACTCTCTGCAAAGGGCACTGTTTGAGCAATCCCAACTGCTTTGTGCCAACCAGTCAACACTGTCAACATATTACGTTATTTTCCTTGGTCATTCCAATACAGCCACTTAAACAGCAGCAAAATACAGAACCACGCTCAAAACAACTATGCAAACATCCGTAGTTTTGTCATTTCTCCCTTTTCTTTTAAAATCTGTTGTACCACAACTTAATGAACCTAATTAACGATAATCTAAACATTTTAAACATCTCTTTGAAGAGCTACCTGCCAAAACCAAGATTAGAATAAAAATGATACACTCCTTCAATACCCTAATTAATCCTATCTGGTCAGTACAGTTAGTTTCTCGTTTGTATGAATATTTACATTTTCCAAGTCAAAAGCAACAAGGATTTAAGTTCTGGACCTTGGGAGAAGGTGAATGGTGTTTGCAGCTTGTGACACACTCAAGATCCTTATGGAAGACATAATTTACCTACTAGTGAGTCCATTAGGGAGTAAATATATGGTTGGAATACTTCTGACACCTTCCATGACATGGACAAGTGGTACATATTTTAGACACATAACATGGGTAAGCTCCAAACACACCTCCCCGGGCCAGAAAGTCATGAAATACTGAAGAGTTCTCATCTGAAAACCTAACCTAATTACCTGAAATGATTTAGAGATGAAGTAAAGGTTAGCATTAGATAATCTTCCACAGCATCTAACAGCTAGTTTTGGGACATATGCCGTAAATTTTTACCAATGTAAACAATCTCTTTCTTAGCAGCTGGACATACTCAAGTCACACACAGCTACTTATATCAGTAATCCTTAACCACATAACAGAATTCAAAAAATAGCAGTGGGTACTTACAGTTTTACTTTATTTTGAAAATTTCTAGTTTAATATCGTTTAAACAGAAATTCATGTGGAATATTTAAAAAAACATTTTAAAAAAAATTTTCTTCAGTAATGACAGCAAGGAAAAACATAAATACATATATAAATAACAATCAGTCTAGATATTGAAGATGAAGCAATCTAATATCAGGAAAAACAGAAGCATTCATTACCTAGTATAAAAATGGCTCATGTACTTATAACACAAGGAAAACATCTCAGTGCATAATTATCTGTGTTTACAATCTGAATAACCTACTTAGCATCTCCTCAGCATCTGAAAATAGATGCAAGATAACTTGATAAATGGGGAAAACTGGATGCAAAACTCAGTGTCTGGGGTTAAGCATCAATTAAGAGTTTTTTTCCTGAGGTCTGTTTGGGATAGTTCCAGATTTCTGAGTATCACATAAAGTTACTGATTAATCCAAGATTCATGTGCTACAAAACAAAGTGAACTTAGTACTTTACTTAGAATTAAAGACTATAAAACAATGTGCTTGTTACAGAAATCAATGTATTTGTATATGCCAATTAATATGTCTTGATTAATAACTATTCATATTATCAAGGATGCTAGACAGAACTAAGTTGTGTCAACAGTTGTACCAACCCACAAGATGTTTAGGAATTTTGGCAATCTTTGGAGGAGAAACCAACAGTTCAAACTTTAGAATAAACACACACACACACACCCCTTCGTGTATATATATTTCATATACTTTTTTATATATGTGTATATAGCTACACACAGAATTTAAACATATGGTATACACACACAAAGAATTTAAAATATTTTTATAGAGACATGGAACCTTCCCAATTCCACATGCATTACCTCTTTGCCAGCTGGGAGAAGGATGGCACATGCATAAGCTGAGACATTTGGCTTAGCCCAAAGGGAAGACTGGCTGACTGATTTGTGTTTCCTCAACAGCCAGGCCAGAGAGCCTAACAGGGGCTCTTCCACCCTTTTTGAGGAATCCCTCTCTACTGGTGGAGGAAAAGCAGCCAAGCAACTGATTTAAAGTTGGTATTTATATTTGAATGATGTGAAGATCCTCAGAGACAATGCCTAAGACTCAGCAGGATGTTTGACACTATGGAAGACAATCCTTCTTGTACATGATAGTTATTCTAAGCAACTTATTCGCAGTACAACATGCTAGGAAGCCTTGATTCCTCAATAAGTCAAATGCAGGGCAAAGACAAAGTCTGGCTATATAGCTTTATATCAACCACAACTCCTAAAAGGATCCTAAATACTTAGAGTTTTGAGTGCCATAAAAACATTGCTTACAAAAGTTTAAGTGGTATGTTATGAAAACACCTCTTGGCATAGGGTTTCAATGTTGCATTTTTACTGAATTTAAAGATTTTCATTCTTTTCCCCAGAGTATAATCTATTTCGAGTACAAAAGGACAGTATTCCCAAGTCACTGAGAATTAGCCTTATATGAGAATTGGGAGATGTAATGCAAGGACATCATAAAATGCACTAGGCAAAAAGATTTGGGGAGGAAAGGAGATGCTGGTTCTCCAGATTCCACATATCTCTACTGAATCCGAGTGACAGTGGTTTTGATCACAACAATGAAGTCAAACACATATAGCTGGCACGTTTAAAAAGGGATATATAAACCCATAGCTTTAGCACAATTAATGTAGACCCATGGCCTGCTTTTCAGTTTACAGCGTATATTTGTAGGTAGGTGTATCTGTGCAAATTAATGAGCAAACACGCTCAGTTCAGGTATGAATTTACCTCCAGACTAAAATCTTTTGCAGCATTAACATCTGATCCCTACCTGTATTTCCCACGGGGGTTACAAAGGCACGGAATATGCTGTAATGATGTAACACTCTTCTTTCTGAGTGTTAATTTTTGGTAGGTAATTATTGCCTAGAAGTCTCACAGGACAAGAAAAATTCTTATTCACCTATTGAAAGTTTGTTGTGTTGTTTGACAGTTATTGTTAGTCTGTGCCAAAGGACTTTCTGTTCACTCCTAGAGACAAACGTCTGCCAGTATTTCATAGAACATTCATGCATTTGAAATCCTTCTGTCGAAGCTATCTGCTTAACTTCACCTCTTGTTCTGGAGCCTGTACTTAAGTGGTTCATGTTCATGCATACATCTCCAGCCACCTTCTAAGATAAAGCATTGGGCCAAGTTTAGTACTTCCCGTTATTCAAAATGCAGAAAAAGAAAATTCTCTTCTAACTTGAGAACAGTCTGTTACTGAGCTTAATTGAATAATGACTGGCTTTAAAACATACAGACAGTTCTAGCTCTTCTTCGAGTTCTTAAATTCCAGCTACCTGTTTCAGTGGTGGATTTTCGTCTAGCATGACATATACCAATAGATCAGTACTTGAAAGCAAGTCTGGAACCGCCAGTGGAAAAGTGTAAAAGATTGCCATTGGAATGAGTCATCCTAAAAGATTCAGAAATGGAATGTCTTGCCACAATCTACCTGATTATTCTTTTCTGGAGCATTTCCAAATGTTGATAAACTGGAATCAGATACATCTGTGTCAAGTATTAACCACGGATGCATCAATAAATAACCAGGGATGCATCAATAAATAGCCTGGTCAGTTGCCAGACTCTTGATTCATATTTAAGGCTAAGTATGAGCCTGGACTAAGAAAGATGCTTGACAAGAGCTTGAAGGCCTTTGGTTATAAGCACTGACAGGGCCACAAACTTTGATTATCCCTCAGCTGCTCTACAAGTACTGTGCAGCAGCACACAGGAGCCCAGTGGGCAAAAAAGGACTGTATCAGCCTGAACTCCAAACTGAGAGGCAACATCAAACCAGGATGGGAGGGAGCAGCCACTCTCTGGACTGAGGGCAGGAGGACTCTGTCTAAGGATGAAGTATTAATATAACCTCTGCCTGAGATCAGACTTGGGTTAGATGAATATACATCTTATGACCACCACAGATTTTGCACAATAATTCTCTTGGGCTTGAATATACCAATTGCAAATAAACACATTCCTTAAGGGAGCAGCCACTCTCTGGACTGAGGGCAGGAGGACTCTGTCTAAGGATGAAGTATTAATATAACCTCTGCCTGAGATCAGACTTGGGTTAGATGAATATACATCTTATGACCACCACAGATTTTGCACAATAATTCTCTTGGGCTTGAATATACCAATTGCAAATAAACACATTCCTTTAAAAAAAAAAAAAAAAAAAGTGCTTCTTTTCTTCTTCCCATGCAGTGCGAGAGGTAACCCAGTGTCAGCTGGTATGTAGAAGATTAAGTACAAGTAGCTACAGCATCTGGAGACCCAAAGTTCTAAATGGAAAGATTAAAGACAGTTGGGTTTTTAACATCAGAATCTCTTAGTTCAAAGCAGCGTCCAAACAAGACATTTAGAAACTTAGCAGCCTGTGGAGACTCAGAAATTCTGGAAAGATTCTAAAAAGACTTCATTTTTCCAAACATGTCCTCAGTCCTAGAAGGCTGATTCTCAAGAAGAGCATTTGCTCAAGAGCATTCTCAAGAAGAAATTTGCTACTTCGTAGACTCCACCTCTAAACCCAGCTTAGATTCCACACTCTTGGAAGTAAGCCCTACCTACAAGACATCTCATAATCACAACAAAGTGCAGAAATGTACGGGCCAAATCCTGAAGTCCCGCTGTCCCGTCTACAGGATTATCAATAACAACCAATTGCAACGCAATTAGGAGTGTGTATACGTAGGAGCGCACGTTGTCTTCATTAAGCCCTACTTTCTGAAACCAAGCAATACAGGAAAACAAATGACTTTTGTTGGCAAAGAAAAAAAAAGGCACGGCCCTACAATTGTTAGTGCATGTCTGATATAAACAATCTCATGAACTTCAAACAAAAGTAAGATCTGTCAATATCCGAAGGAATCTGAGTTGACTTCCTAGTTCTTCTGCTGAGGAAGAAATGTTTAAGGCTGTGACACAAGTCTTACGAGCCACATGAAAAGAACACAAAATATAATTTTTAAAGATATTTGTGATTATGGGCTTAATTTCTCACGCTCTTGTTTAGCTACCCTGATCCTGCGGTATATCCATATGCAAACACTCTTCTCTTACTGTAACTAGGCTTGGAAAATGTACAGCGCAGAGAAGTGAGAAACTAAAAGGTGAGGTCTGTTGGGCAATGCCATGTCATCAACATCAAATTCCACTAAAACATAGTTGCCAGTTGGCACAAGTGAATAAATGCTTTTGCCCTGGGAAGATTTGGAAATACTTCTGTTCCAAAGGGTTAGGCTGTTAATCTTTCTGTAAAAAAAAAGAATCAATTAATAACAATTTGTACTATTGGCTATTAAAAATACGCACGCACTGTCTGCATGGCAGAGAGCCATACAAACAGCCGGGAGAGTAACAAAACTTCTCAAAGTCTGAAAGGAGCGTTGCAAATGACCGAACTCCAAGGGAAGAGAAGTTTTTACTCATAGGTTTATCTTAGAGCAATTACAAATCTGTCGTGAAACTAGTAAAATTACTAGTAACTAGTAATCCGAGCCCGATAAGCACGATAAGGATGTCCTTTAAAGAATCTTCTTTCCTGATGGGAGTTGCGACCTTACCACGCTTACCACTAGCACCTACATTACGTGCCCGTACCAAACTTACCGTAACTTTTACGTTACCTCATG